CAGTGCTGCTGCATGTAGAAAGGCTTCTGGTTGGTCCATCACTAATGCTCAGAATGTGTGTGGAAGGGAGGGGGAACACCTGCCAGTTAATTATAAGGTGCCTCATCTGGATAGAGAGTTTTGTGCTAAATTGGCCGGCAGAGGAAATGATGGATGGATGATTAGAGATGGGTGTGGCAGATCAGATCTCTCCAGCTGGGAGGAAGAAAAAAAGGATTGAATTTCTTCAAAATTTTGGGACTGGCTTGATTGGTTGTAAAATTGCCTGGCATTCAACCTGTCTGGGGATGGACCCCCCCTCCTGTCCTTTGCCAGCTGGGATTGTGTCCAGTCCCCCTGTGGCCCTCAAAGGATAAGCGGTATAGATAATTCTATGTCTAAATATCTTGGTATAACACATCTGTCACAGTCTGTAGAAATTGGATTACATTGCTACATATATAATACAAGCTTGCTGTCACGGTGGCATGATGTGTAGCTGGTACAAACGGTTAATGGTCTGTATTTACAGAGCACTTTTCTAGTCTTGATGACCACTGAAAGCACTTTAGATTACAGTTTCTCAATTCACAAACACATTCACAATCTGCTCTTTTCTCCTGAGCAACATTAGGTGAATTCCACTGGATGCATTTTTGTTGTTTTATTTTTCCTATAAGCTGATGAAAATGTACCAGAAGCACATTTTGCATGTTGTACGAGTACATCAGCAACAGTTTTCAGACTTTTTCAAAACTAAACTGATGGATTTGTTGTACTAGTCTGGTGTCTGGCCTGAGAATCAGCCACTGTTTACAATAACTTTGATTAAAATGGAACTTAACAGGCAACAACTTAACAGACAGGGCACCAGCTGCAGTTCATCCTCCAGCTGATGAGCACACATGCACACACACAAACACACCTCTATTTGTCTGGGGAGTACAAGAACAGGTGTGAATAACATGAGCACCTGCATACATTCACTGTTACTCATACAGAGCACAAACATACACAAGGTATTTAAGTCATCCTTGGAGATGCAGACGCACACACAACAATAATGATGCAACATTAAACAAAATCAACATGTTTTTGAAGAACAAAGATGGTCCTAAATCGTACACAAGATCAAGTTAGACAATGTGCTTGTGTTTGACACTCACAGCTGACAGTTTGTCACTGTGTCTGAATATATAAGCACATTGTTCGGCCAGGAAGTCACAGAAAACATACTGACACGTCCGATCTTAAACCTTAAAGTCCAAACAGGTGCAGCTGATTGACACGGTGGTGTTATTTCCAGCGTGTGTGTGGGTGTCCAGAAGTGTGAGGGGGGAGTCGAAGGCTTGAGCTGTTATCTGCTGCTTGTCGTTTGTTCTCTAAAACATCTCTGCAGTGACAGTAAGGTGAGAAATTCAACCCAGCCAACAGCTACATGCAATTTTTTTTTCCCCCATCAAGCTGCATTCAACACCATTCATGCATTAAATTACCCACAATTTTACAATGCACAGGATAAACAGTTTTTAACACAGCAATACATCAAAAAGGCTACATCTACACATCCCAACATCTTTAGATAATGTTCTGACCTCCTGATTTCATTCTGTTTAAGTGTTTAATGAGGATCAGAGGCAGGAAGAGCAAGATTCCTCTGACCCCCTGCTGTTACCTTAATTAAAGCCCATCACTGATCCCCTTCAGCATTGGTCAGTCAATGTGGCAATAACGTCGCTCAGCCTGATGAGGCTCAGTCATGCAAAAAACAGGGTCACGACTAACAGCAATATTTTCTAGTTTGGGGGGATTGGGAGCCATCAAGCTTCTGCATCATCATCCATGGATAAATTACATGGAAATACAGAACTCTGGTGTGTTCGTCACATGCATGTACGTACTTTTCCTTTTGTATCTTCACACTTTTAATTAATGTGGTGAGCAGTGAAAGGTCTGATGGGAAATATTTTGTTTTTTTTAATTGCTGCTCTGTGTTTAAGGCTTAATGAACCATACATTTATTTACTTGTAGTGATTACCAGTCAGGTGAAATGTATTTCAACTACAGCAGCCATTTGTGTTCCCACACCACAATCAGTTGTCTACACATGAACAGATATTCAGTCAAAAGTGGAACTAAAACAATTTAACTGTAGAGTTAGGTTCAGTCTATACTGGGACAGTGATACTAAAAGTGTGCCAGTGTGTTTTATATACACTGAGGATGAAAACAAATGAGGTGAATACTCCGCTTTGCTTCTAAACAAAGGTTAGATCAGATCCGTATAATTTCGTTTCATGTAGTCAGAATATTTCTATGCTGTAGAGACAACTAAATTGTTTGTGTAACTTTTAACATGTCCAACAATGTCAAAGAGGTACAGAAAAATACTTAAGACGAAGGAGCTTAAATGTTATCATCATTAGTACCAAGGCACCGAACCCCCCAATTGCTCACAGGGAGCTGCTCCGGGGCTGCCCATCACTCCACCATCTCTCACCACATTTGCATGTCTGTGAGCCCTTTTGTGTGTGTGGGATTGTGTTTCAGGGTTAAAAACTGCATGTATAAAAATGAGTTTAAAAAGAATTTCCCCTTGAGGGGTCAATAAAGTATCTCTTCTTCTTATGATCTAATGTAACTAATTTACTAGGTATTGAGATAAAACACTGAACAAGTCGTATATTCTTTGCACTAAGTGATGCTCAATATGTTGTGGCACTTTCAGTTAAAAATATGAGTTGTATGTACATTAATCAAAATAAAATGTTGAAATACCACCAAATGGTGTAATGTTAAATGAGCATGAGCATTTGACTCAAATCTCGGGGGTTAACATTACTTGAGGAAGATCAATGCAAAGCCACAAAGCTTGGTCCAGATGGTCAGACCGGGGGGATTAAGATGAATTTATGTGGCCTGTTGGGACAATCTGCATTTGACTGGCATTTCAGGTCCTCTAGAAGAGCCTGTCCTATTAAACTGGGCTTAGTCTTCTTTTCTTAAAACTCATGGTGATAAAACATGGTGATGTTTAACATGTTTAGATGATGTACAGATCAGATACAGATGACATATATTTTTCACCCATCACCAGAGAACCAGAGACCTGAGATGGGGAGAGATGTTGGCAGACTCCTTGGAACCGACTATTTGAACCATTTGGACCGAAACTGATCAAACTATGTATTCTATTGAATGTGGTTCAACTGTAGAGGGTGATAGATCTTTTAAAGTACAACCCCAACTGCCCCTGAACCCAGGACAAGGCTTCATATCTTAGCCTCTTTGGTTTATAACAGCTCCTCCAACCTCTTTGGATTCAGACAACGTCCTGGTTTTTAACAGTTTGAGCCAGCAGAGAAGTGATGGAGTCTAGTGCAAATGACAAAAATCTATATTCCCAAAACAGCATCTAGTGTTTCCTCATTCTTTACATGACTGCCCTTTTAAAGGCAGGCACTAGTTTCAGTTCATGTCAGTGTGGTATGAAAACACTTTTGTCAACCACCCAAATCATCTTAATGCAGCTGGTCTACTGCCAAACAACAATTTTTAAATTCCCTAAATGTCCTTAGATCATAGATCATCCCCTGGCAATGTACATGTTTGGTTATTGTCCAAGTTTAATGATGAGGACTGTAAAATGTCTTGGTCGAAATTGATAATTGAGATTCCATGCAAATGTTTGCATGTAAGGAAGTAAATAATTGGTTGGGAACACGCTAAAAATGTTGGCATCCCTCTAATAAGTTTTTCCTTTATTTTATCATCATGAAGTTAATGTGATTGCCACCATCTGCACTTGGTTTCCTAGAAAGCCTTGCTTTCCCTATTCAAGTCTGTCTCCCAGCAGCCATGATATTTCGTGGCAAAATGAATTTGATTTCGGGCATAAGAAATCATGTCCACCACTGCATATCCAAAAACAGAAAGAGGATACCACTTTTGCTTTCCTCCTGTAGCTCGGAAGCTTTCCCCAGGTGGAGAAAACGATGGAACAACCATGTGGACACTCTACCAGGCAAAAAGGGAAAAAGGAGCCACGTTGTCAGATGAGGCAAAGTAGGCAAAGAAAATGGAGAGGGATAGAAACCGCAGTAAAACAGGAGTGAACCTCAAACAGGCATTCACGATGGAGAGACGCCATGTTACTGGTCAATGCTCAGTTTGAGCTTTAAGCCAATAAAAGCACAGAGCAAAAGCTTTTGGGGTTTTTCTCCTCTGAGCGCAGGATCTGTTGTGGCCAATTTAAGTTCTCATCACTCAAAAGGTAAATTATAGGACAAGCTTCTAAATTTCCTTTAAAACAATGTACTAAGTAACTGACAATGAGAAAAACCCCTCTTTTGTATAGTCCTTACCTACGGAAGAAGAGATGGAAGAGTCAGGCAGTGAAAAACAAAGGGATGGATGAAAAAAGTACAACAGCCTGAAACTGTGTCATGTCAGTTTTGTACAGCTGGCTGTAAAGTAAAGCCAAGGAGCTTGCTTTTGTCTGGAGGGAGTATGTCTGTTCTGAGACAAGGGCACTCTCACTCTCTCAGTCTGTGTCTCAGAGGGGTTTTGCTGCAGCCCGAGAGACACAGAGGGCTAATTGACGAGTATTGGGCTTTGTTTTATCTTGGCAGTCTCGCAGCAATGCTTACTTAATGTTGCCAGTGGACAGATGGCACGCCACGGTGCTGAATGGCCGACAGAAGCTGCAGTCCCACTCTCCACACAAGAGCTAGTGTCCCTCTGATCCCCCCCCCCACCAGCCATCCGCATTAGTCACTGGGGCCACATTGATAATCCTTACAGAGGTTTGCAATACGCTCTTCAACACACAGATGACAGCCCCTTCTACACATTCAAACTAACAAAACCATCCTCAACATCTTTGTTGAAAAGATTCCACATAAGAGGGAATCAAATTTAAAACCGCACAGTCAAAGTGCTTGAGCCTTTCATGGGGCATAGGACGTAAATGTAAGTTGTTTTTGGGGGGTTGGGGTCAGGACCTGGAAAATAAACTCACATGTGTGGACTGAGTTCATAGAAGTTTCTGTTGCGATACTCCTCCACTTTGTCAGGTGTGAAGATGGGCAGGGACCTGTAGGGGTTCATGGAGATCACCACACTGCCAATGTATGTCTGGAGAAGGAAGAAGAAAATACAGAAACATTAAGTGAGAATCCACATTGACATTTATTCAGTTTTACACAGATAACTTTTCCTCGCCTCCATCCATTTGGGTGATAATAGTAAAAAGTGGAGGTGGGGGGTTCTGCTCCTGTCTTTTTTTTCCTCAGCTGGTTATTCCTGATGCAATGTTGAGACCTGCAACGCCTGGAGTGAAACTTGAGATGCTGAAATGAAAAGCTTGTGGAATCTATGGTATATGCAAACTGGAAAATGGTCATGCTGCTAAAAAAGCACCCTTAGTAAGTTTATGCATGCGTGTGTGTGTGTGTGTGTGTGTGTGTGTGTGTGTGTGTATAAACATTATACCACTACAGGGCTGGACCTTAGCAATGGGTGTGAACAAAACACAAATCTGCATCTAAAATGAAGCAATTCATTTGGCATAATTGTTCCCCATTAAAATGACATTGTAACACCTGTCAGTTACACAATAGATGTAAGTAAAATTTCAGCAGTGGGGTTTTAATCAAACTTTGTATCAAAGACCTACAAAAGCACCACTTTCTCCGTTCCACACGAAGAACACCTTTATGTAAGATTCATGAAGCTCTCATTCAGCAGATAACCCTCGTCAGATATGTTTGAGAGCAAATGTAACCAGCAATCATCTTTAACATCCTCCCACGTTTGAAACGCAGTCCAGATAGCACTTTCAAAACATCAACCTGAAACATTTTTTTCTTGCTCTCCATGGTAATGGCTGTTGCATAACCCACTCTGGCGAGAGCGGAGCATAGCCTTCCCTGTGGCAACACCACAACCTCCCACTGCCTCTCGTTCAATAGCACACCGGAGGCAGAATGAGGCCTTTCTAAGTGCACAGGATGGGTACAAAGGGGAAGAGTGTGTGCGCCATGTAAACAAAGTATCATGAAGTAAAATGAGGGGCTCTCTTGACCAAAAGAGACACACAAAAAAATATAGAATTTTTTTCTCATGCTTATCATGTGTATTTCATGAATCCTCTCACAGATCATACAACTGGTGTCAAAATGCTCAGGTAACTATGACCTGGGGGTTTTCACACAATTTTATTTTTTATAGTGTGATTCAAAACATTAGAAAGTTGACAATCATGCATTAACCTTTTGCAAACAAAAGATGAAGAATTGATTTCAGATTCAAAGATAAATTTAGTGAAACTGTGCTCTAACACAGAGTTCCATACACATAGAGGGCTATAGGGAGTGTCATGTCGCATCAGCATGGACCAATGCAGCTGTACGTTTTCTTTTGCATTTCTGCACCTGCCTTCCTGCTTGTTAAAACTCCATCTGTCATAACTAAATTACAGCTGCTCAGATGACACATCACAAGCAAATACATGTTTTCTTTGTAGCTCAGCTTTTGAACCACAAAATACACAATAACCTGAGTTCAGGACCTATGTGCACGACAGCATGCTCATTTTATCTGTCTAGAGTGACAAGACACATGGAGTCTGGAGTCATGGTAAATTAGAAATGAGTAGGGCAGACAGCATCAGTTTTTTACTGTGTGGGGAAAAAGAACATTTTATAAAATGTCATGACATTCATTAAATCCTTAGAGAATTAATCTAGAGAAAGTGTAAATGCAAATTAATGAGACGGGACTGATCAAGCTGCCACTGAAAGCAAATACAGCCAATGATGCTACACATAACACACATTTGGTGGTTAAAAATGAAGACGCTTTAGGAATTAAACTTTGAGAAACACTGAGATTCTCAGTGATTCCATTAACTCAGTTAGACATGAACAGATTAAAGGGTGATTTTCAGTCTCTTTGATTTTCCACTGACTTATTGGATACATGATGTGTTGTCCCTCTGGAAAACAAAGCCATGTTTCTTCTGCTGTGAGCTGTCATATGATAGTTTGGGGTGGGGGAAGGGTCCATTTGTAAGGGATGATGCCACACAAGGAAAAATCCATTCACATGCAAGGACTATGCACCACAGATTTATTGGATAAGTACAGGATTCAGACCCTGTCTTTGTCGTCAATCTTGAAGTTAATGCTTCCAAAAAGCTTCCCATTATGGACTCGTGATTTAGTTTTCCATGTTGACCTGTGCAGTCTGTACTAAAGTAAAAAGGGAAGATTTTTCACCATAATTAAGACATTTGTTATTTAACTACTTCCACAACATTGAGGTCGGCACCACACACAGTAAAAAACACCTCTCAGTAAAAACGCCATTCCAAAATCCTCAGCAGGATGTGAGCTGCAACCAAACAAAATATCTAGCACACCACGAAGGCAATAATTGCTAAATGAGGTGACATCATCCCTTGGGCCCTTTGAGCCAACAGCAGCCAGAGCTGAGCAGCAGTCGTCTTGGCTGTCATCTACAGCAGCAGCCAACCGGCAGAGCAGAAGAATCGTGGAGTGCCACAGCTCCAAACCCAGAACCAAGTGTGTGATGCAGAGATGATAGTTTAACAACCCCTGTTTTTTTCTAGTTTAACAGCCAGACAGGCTGCCAGCCTCTCTGTGTCTCTGTGCTCTGGATTTCATGCCTCATTTAAGGGCATCATCTACATTCCTCGCTGATGTGATTTATTGATTGGCTGGTTAGTCTGGTCTCTGTATATGTGCCACTTATGTAGCCATGTCTAAAATGAGTGGAGGAACAATAGAGTTCAGAAAAGATATCTGCATGGTTTCTAAGTGAAGACGTCTATAACTGTCTATGGAAGCAGGAGCACAAAACTGTTTCAAACAACACAATACTTTAACATTTGGACTCATATCCCATTTAGAGATATTCTGATACCAGCATCTGAAATGCCTCTGAAACTGTCGGAAAGATTGAACATCAGCAAGTACGCAAATCTATGTACTGATCCAATATCACATCCTTAAAGTATAATAGGTTCACCTTGATAAAACTGAAATTTTCACATCATCACTGTTGCAAAACAGCAGTTGTGCTGTACTGCCACTGGCAAATACTGTTTGTAGAGCAGCGGAGAAGTAATGATTTCCAGCAGTGTAGTATTAGCAAGTACACAGGGATGTGTACCATGTGCAAGGCTTCAGTTTCAAGCAATTTAAAGGACGTAATTGTGTATTCCTGGAATGATTCATTCCAATCACTTTTTCAATTATCATTTAATCAAACTTGATCGTCAAAAAGGTTCTATTGCATCCATTCTCTGTATTTATTGTTTTTCAAAGGAACTTACCATGAGCCAGGCAACAACAATGACATAACTTATCACTTAGAGCTGTTAAAATACATTATATAGCAGTTTTTAAATACACTGGTACTGGATCTGTACTTTGTATCGGCCAATACTCAAAGTCCATGAATACAGATCAGTATTAGAAAGGGGAAAATTGTATGGGAACATCTCGAATACAATTCACTTCACACAATTATTATCTGCAGGTACAATGGTGAACTTACGTAGATCTCATTGTGGTCAAAGCGGTTCTTCAGGTTTTCGAGGAATGAGTCTTCAGACAGGGGCTCGAGGAGGACCATGTCGCCCACCCCAATCATGTTGTCTAGAAGTGATGTCTTCACCTCCATTTTGGCTGCCGGTTTCCCCCCCTGTGCAGAGAACCAGGAAGAAAAGATACATCAGTCATAGAGCAAATTAAAAAGGCATCCTGTGGAGCTCTAAGCCTGCAGCGATACGGAGAGATGTTTATGAGTGGGCCGCGGTTTTGTTTTGATCGTGTAACTGTGAGCCAGAAAAGTCAGTGAGAAGTAAACTGCTAGCAAGCAAATATGGATGTGAACAAAAAAACATCTAAAGCAGTTTTTGTGTGGCTCTGTGTGTACTTGTTTTCGGTTGTTTTGCTTTACATTCAACATGTTTGTTGGACCTCAGACACACACACAAACATGGTGAGAAACACTAGCTCATGTGTATCACTATATTACACCTATTAGGGTCATTATTTTATTCTTGTTCTCCATTATTCGTGAGGCTTTGGGCAAATTTCTTCTGAGTCTTCCTATGATCAGAAAATAAATGGTCCTAAACTTAGCTAAAGCAAATAAACTTCTGGGGCGGACATGTTTGTACAGCGGTGGTTTGACTCCAGGGGAGGAGTGGGGGCTTCTGGTTGGCTATTCAGTCCTCTGCTTTGGCATGTGAGAACATCCCACAGGCAATTACATAACTGACGAACTTTACTCTTAACCTCTGACTGGCTGCCCAGCTGGAATTGGCTCCTGTTTCAGGACTCCTTATAAATCAAAAGAAATGCCCCCCACCAATAGTCCTCCCCAAAAAACTGCCTCACAGTTTTTTGTTACACGACTTGCTGGATGCAGCGCTTATAATATTTGGTGGGAGTGATCTGGACGACAGAGCACTGGGACAAAAACAGTGCTGGGGGTGGCAGTTTTCAGTCTAGTGTTGCCTCCCATCTCTTTTGGGACAGTAATCCCAATGCTATAGGGCTGCAGATAAAAGAGGGGCCTGGGACACATTCAGGGCCTTGATACAGGGATTTGCTGCACCAAAAACCCTAATGTGTGGTGTTGTGACAGACCGTCTGCACCAAGCCAATGGATGAGGCCATGCAGTCACCTATTGTTCACTGCTCTTGTCGCAAATACCGTACGTCTCCTTTAGTGTAGTAAGAAACAGTTCACAATAAAATGGAAAAAGGGAAAAGGCATATGTCTAAAGCCAACAAAACACTGTCTGCATTGATTAATCTCAGACACATATAAATAATTGATGATAATAATAACAATAATAATGATAGTAATATCAGACAGATGTGGATAGTTGATGGCTTGGGATTAAATAGCGGGTTCATCGACTGAAAAAAAATGAAGCTGACACATTTAAGCAGAAAACCATCATTGTGTTCCAGAATTCTACATCAACAAACAACATTTTCTTTCTGAAGAAAAATGGGATTCCTAGACGTTCCCTCTTCCTCTGGCCTCTGTGCCCCTCAGGGCCCAGTGTTATAGGCCCATAAAGATGTTGCCAGGTTCTTGGTAGTAGCCAAGAAGTTAGAAAACAACTGTCACAAAACATTTAAACATGAAGAACAATGTTGCATGATTATTAATGTTCATATGAAAATGCAACCGAGGTCTGTCACTTTGTGCCGACTGTCTGGTGCACCGTGGCTCAGTGCCAAAACGTTCCCAGTGACAGCTCATGTCTACCAGCTGCCTTTCTTGTCTGCGGTGCCGTTTTAAATCAAGTCATTTCCTTTTAGCATGGTCAAATGAAACGGAAATCACCTGCTCTGTGATCTCATGCCATATGTTATCTTCCTCTAGAGATTCATAACGCTGCAGCTTTGCTACAACATTCCAGATTTCTTTATTGCATGGATAAAACTGAAAACATACAATGTGCTGGAAGTGACTCAACTCAAATTCACAAACTGCTAGTAATGATGTTTGTGCTAGCCAGCCACAATCAATATTGGTCAAGTGAATTACAATAAAGTCATTATCTACCCAGCTACTGCGAACTTGCTGCCTAACAGTAAGTACATAGACATGCAACCCTGAAAGTGCTGAGTCTAGTCTCTGGTATGAACAAACAAGAGTTTAAAACAGAAAACAGATGCTGAAGCCTCTCTCTGACCTGGGGGAGAACACTGTGTCTATGTCGCACGAGCGTCTGTGCCATCCTGAGTAACAACATATTGCATCTGTCTGCAGCCTGGATGCCGGATATGCTCTCAGCTCCTCTGCTGATAACCCACTACCCTAGATTTGGAACTGGCTTCCAGGCAGCCAGTGACACAATCCCATTATTAAGGGTTGCTGCCTGCTGCTAACTGTTGTGCTAGATCCAAAGTGGGGGAATAAGAGAAAACCTTACAGCCTTGATTAAACTCAGGGGATAATCCTCACTGCTGAGTGGTGGTGATGACGAATATTGCTACTCTGTTATTCATTGGTAGATGTAAAAAAATAATAATTTGTGATTCTACAAGAAGAACAAAATATCACACTTACTTTTTATATTAAAGAGAAAAACAAAAATTCCATCAGTCTAAATCAAAATGACCCTTGCATAAACCTTTGGTGAATGACTCAGAAAGTGGATTAAAAGTGCCCCACTTTATCAATCTCTTTGATGCATTTTGCATCGGAGAGATTTAATCAATCTCTCTGATGAATGTTTAGGAGGTAAGCATCACATACGCCCACATGGTTTAGCCGCTATTAATCTCAAATCTAAATCTCATGAATCAGTGATGTGGCAAAACTTATGGCCAAATGCCCCTTGGCCAGGATGCGTGTCACCTTACCCGAGTGTGCACTCCAAAACTGACTGGTATGGTGCAGCCATGTGTGGCATTTAAATTTGGCACAATAAAGCTTGGCTTCATGTAACAAAGGGACCAAAAGAGATTCTGATTCAAAGAAAAATATCTTTCACATAGCTGGGCCTTGGTTTGACTTCAGAAGGACTTCCTGGAACAACTACCTGCCATAATTTATCACCCATGGCCCACATGAATTCAATGTTAATTTGCCACTGGCACTCAACTAAGCAGCCCTCCCTCCCATTGGTGTTGCAGAATATGCAGAGCATTCTGGCAAGATCAGACAGAGCATGTTGACTGTGAGGGCACGGAGTACAGGTCACATGATTAAATTTTGAAATTGCAATTTCATCTATAATTCCCGCAGATTAAAGTGCTGTATTTAGAGAAGCTAAGTTGCTCAACAGAAAAAGCAAAACATGAGCGAGAGATTTATATCATCTTGACTCTAGATTCCAGAGTCTATTATTGATGGGTGGGTTGGACCTGGGATTTCAATGCGTGTCACCAACAATATTATGATACATGTTTGGCTTCCTGACACTGACCTAGATTTCCCAATAAGATCAAGCTATGGGGGAAATGTGGAAAAAAGCCGCCATTAAATGTCCATATATTATTTACAAGACCTTGACTGAGGCTACGTGTTCTTCTCTGTCCTTCAGTGAGGAGAGAGCTTAACCAAAGGTCAACAACCGTGCAAGCACTCACATGCAAGTGGTGAAAGAGACAAACAAATCAGCTGATGCATGTGAGGATGCATGTACGTGATTAAAAGGGAAACAAGCTCATGGTGGTCATCAATTTCTAAATGGTCAATATTTGCATTCTGGTTGACGAAACAAGCAGGTGATTTTAAATGACATGTGGTTTGAGGGAAAGCAAATGGGCATTGTGTGAGCTACCCTGAGAGATGATCTGTGTCATTCTACCTTGGGTGCAGCTGTTTGAGAACCAGTGGCGTCTATGTGCAAACAAATGATAATAAAATCTATTATGCAGCGTAATCGTCTGTAAATTCACCGCAGATCAGGCCGGCCTTGTCGACGGGCAGAGGAGTCACAACATCACAGGCTGCTGGCAGTGATGGAGATTAAAAGCCCTCCCTAATGGAGCAGCAGCGGGGCGTGGGGCTGTGCCAGAGCAGGCTGGGACAGAGAGGACAGCGGTTTAGAGGGGCAGAGAGCGAGCAGCTGCCTGGGAAAGTGACCTGGAATCCACAGTCCTCAACACAGCTCCAGGTGCAGATCTGTGCGAGTGAAAATCTGGCATATGAACAAATTGGCAGTCACTCCACTTGCTGGCACACTGACTGAGTGAACAAGCTGAGAAAGTTTTTGAACATCTTAAGCGCTTAATGACTTGTGAACTGATGACTTCTGTCTTCAGTCAAAACTGCCTAGGTTCAATAACTTTGAATTTAGACACGCTATGATGAGGTTTAGATTACACAAACGTTTCCTCGTTGGCTTAGAGTCGATTTTGAGTTTTGATGGCAGGAAATCATCCAGCCTGGTTAAACATAAACCTGTGGCCCAAGCTGGGATAAAGCTGTTCCAGGCAGGTTTTCGCTTCATTTGAATTCATATGTGATCTTTTAAAAACAGCAGAAACTACTTCCCCTTATCTTAGATAAGGGGAAATAGCCCAGTAGTGAAAAACCTCCGTAACACCACGTTATCTTGCCAACAGAGACAGTAGGTATCCATCTTTCCCACATTATAAGGCTAAACGTACTGCGTTACATTCTGTAACTCATCTCATCAGTTGTACATTTCACATTGGTCGTGTATGTAGTTTTATTACAGTGTGCTAATATCGGCATCATGGAGAAAGAACTACAAGACACAAAGATACATTACAGTAAATTTCTCTCAGAAAACTCATTTCAAAGCATTAGATGAACATTACCATAATTAATACTTGTCTAAATTAAATGAATACTTGTGCATAATATATTAACATATTTAAGAGCTTTCAAGACCTATAATTGAGATTATTAAATTGACACTTTAAGACCCTGCAGTTTCTCCCTGGAGTTTCTCTCAATTTTCATTATTGCATTACTCAGCCGGCAATTATAGTTACCACTGTACACCATTCTGTTCAATACAAACCTGTGGAAATAAAGCTCACCTAGACTGCAAGCTAGCTAGTGGTGAGTCAGTAAGTTCTTTAGCTTAGCTACTCTTCACGTTGCAATAAACACACTTAAATTAAGAATGGTTCACTGTGCATTCAGGTGCAACTCAAAAGACCCCATCTCCCAGAGTTGTGAAGTTGTTGTTCAGACTATGTGTTCATGTGTATTTATGCATTTAGTTAAAAAAAACACTTTGACACCTGTTTCCAATATTTGCATAGTAATGAAGGGCAAAGACAACAAATAATCTAGAACATATGCATGTTAAGCATAAAAACATCCGCATTGGCTAAAACGTAATGATGCTAGGTGCCTGAGAGAGACAGACATGCAGTTTGTATATGTAAAAACTTTTAAGTTCACATTAAAAGCTGCTATATATTCCCAGACTTGAGTTGTTCCAACTTGAATTTATTGGATTATTCAATGAGTGAATGCATTAAAATACAAAATGGATAGGCAAGGTAATAGGAAATGGGCCACTTCTGCACTGGCAGTGCAAAGCAGTGTGAAGCAATGTTCCATTACCTACAGAACACCAATCATGTTCACATCTATCACCCAGTCGGCATGTAATGCATTAAAACCATTAGAGCTAAAAGATCTAAACACTGGCGCACACTCGCCGCTGTAATGGCCTCTCTGTTGCTGCTGTGGCAATCTGACACTTGCATCCTGGTGTCAGGATTTACTTTAGACTGTCAAGCTGGAGTTTTACATTTAAAAAGGAAAAATTGGGATTTTGTAGTTTTCACTATTGACTTGATCAACACCCTGATCATCAGGGTGCACAATGCTGAGCATCACCAGTAACAACAACAGCTTTGAAATGACTTGATCGCGTATCAGCTATAAAATAAACACACACCAAACCATTTTTCACCACATTACATGAACACGCTCAAATGTTCCAGCTAGCTAACAGCTTCGGCCTCGTGTGCGCGACGGGCAGCGAAACTCTTGGTCTGGCTTGGTTTCACACAAGTGAATGGAGAAAGCAGCTGCCGCACTTAACAAAGCAACAGTGAACTGAATCAAAATCATTATTAGCCCAGCTGCAAGGCAGACAAAGGATATAAAGTCTAAGTACTGCTAAGTACAACGGGGTGGAAAAATGTTTAGAGTCAAATGGCACTGGAAAAGGTTTGTTAGGATGGTGAATTTAAAGATAATGTGCAAGATTTACTTTTACAACTCCAAAGCAAGAAAGGGGAACGAGATCTGCTTTAAAAAGGTAACAGAGTATCATTCAGACAGGTTTTGATGCTTCGTAGCTTCAGAAAATCATCCTGTGAGAGAGACCGCTGAAGGCTTTTAAGGTCTAGTCAGTTGGACTGCATGTGTCTGTCTCAGTTGATGCAGGGCTAACACAAGACACACGCCTCGCTACACTAAGCTGCACGGGTAGACAAGTGCAAACACCATTCATCACCATGGCACTGGCTGAAGGGACTTTGGTCCTCCATACACACCACATTAGACCATGGCATCTCACCCCGCAGTGTTCATGAAGAGGCCTTTGGCACATTAGGAAAAAGCAGTTGCGACGTGAAAAACAAGCAAGCTCCCACTGAGTGGAGCTCGACAAGTGGCCAACAGTCGCCAAAGGCTGCCAACGTCCACGTCTGAGCTAAACGGTTGTTACTTTTTCCAGGAGGCTCTGTGCTTCACCACACACTACCTTTCACAGTCATCTTACATCACTGTTTGTTTGATCAGGAGGGGTAATAAAGTTCCCATCTGGTTTCCCTGACTGAGACTCATGGCCAAGAGGATTTGTGGAAAACCACAAAGCGAAAGACACAGTCCTTTAAAAAAAAAAAAAGAAGGGTCTTATCTGATCCTCTTGGGATTTAAAGTTCACAAATGGAATTAGGAGTTGGAACGCTGCAGCATACAGAAGTAGAAACCATCGCATGGCAATCGGGCTACAGACGACAACATTTGAGGCAGAACAAGTCGGAGGGTTAGGAACATTTCCACTGACTTGATGTATGGCTTCAGTTATGGCTGAGTACTTCTGAAACATGAATATATTTAGACTGGAAATAAAAAGTTAAGAGTGAAAATGGAGGACAACTTGAAGAGTGAGTACAATCAGCAGTTTCTGAAGCCCCTGACTCAGCTCTGAAATCCCTGTAGCTGGAAATGCAGACCCATTTAATTTATGTATCAACAACCATGTGCAGTAAAACCTCAGCTATAGTCCTCCAAAACAACTTTTATAGAATCCTCCCTATGATTTTCTATTGTTTTCTAACCCTTTTATCTAATCCAGTGGCTGTTTCTGTTTTAAAACTCTACTATACTTTTGTCTTCCCATAATTGTTCCAGAGGAGAACCCCGGCAGAAAGAGAGCGAGACAACTCCAGACCAGGAGGAACTTTGGGAGCTTTCTCTCAGAGGGGAATAGTTTCATCCATCCAGTCCCTACTAAGTGGTACATTATCCCAGTCTGCAGCAGCAGCAGCATTACAAGCCCTTTAAAAGCAGGGACCTTGTGCAACATCCAACACTTTTACACACTTTTTCTTCTCACTGTGTAGATCCAGGGTGTGTGCACAGATCATAGCTCAGGAATTGCAGCATATTAGTAGAATGAAAAAGAAAGTGGTTGGGTGGAGAGGATACATTGATGATGGGGGTATTTGTTGATTGAGCTTTGATAAACGCAGCATATGAAAGAACTGGAGTTAAAGAGCTGCATCTGCTGCTGTCTCTCCTGTTTGACTCTTGCATGACAAAGCCCGCAGATGTAGGCAATTAGCCATCACCCTTTTTTTTTTTGTATTCTCATTACAAGACGAGCTCTGGTCGGGATTAAGGACCCATGCAACCAGCGCAACTACACTCTGACACACAGATGTATCCCTGGTCCTGCCAGTTTTGAAACATCCAAACATAAGAACTCTCTCACAAAGAAAAAGGAGGAAAAGTCCCCCCCCCCCTCCTCCTCCTACTCCCCCTCCTGCTGGAAGAAGTGAGGAGGAATGAATGAGTTGGGAAGCGGACGGTCTGTCTCCAAAGTTAACTTTGGCGAAAGAAAAGTTGCGGAGAAAGAAGATACTCCTCGCGTGTGTGGAGAGAGAAAGTTGTGCGTAAAGGAACAGTGAGCAGATGCAAAACTTGCCTCTGTATCTCTGAAAGAGTTGCTCCCTTGTTGTTTTTTTTGTCCTAAATCCACTCAAAGTTGGGATCCCGGGAGTGATCCTCCAGGTCTGGAGCGGCTCCCTGAAAAAGACCTTCCCCGCTCGGCTTCGTGCTGAACTCGTGTCCGCGGAGCAAGGACGAGGCAGGACGCGCTGTGGCTCTCAGCAGCAGCAGCACTGTGGATGGGAGCTGGGCGGGTGGACTGGAGAGGGAAGGGTCCACCGGGCGTGGGGAGCGGCTGCAGCGGAGCGGCGTCACTGGGCTCGTCCGGCGGCAGAGTCCCCCTAATCACCTCCAGTGAGGGGGGTGGGGGGGTGGCCGGGTGTTGATGCCTTCAAATGCTGTCGGAATTTTATGGAGTATTATTTTATTATTTTGTCCACATGGTGTGCACTTCCCCAAAGTTTCCTAAGGCAGACACTATGTCAAATATTTATTTATAATATTTATTTAAACATGCATGATCACAAAATGTTGCACACTAAGTTCTGGTTCAGTGTGTAAGACTTAGTTGAAAAGGATCTATTGATATAAATTGAATATAAAATAATCCTAGTGATGTTTTCCCTTCTGTGTTTTATCTAAATTGTACAAATTGTTGTTTTCTTTACCCTAGAAATGGGCCTTTATATTCAAATACTTTATATTTACATCAGGAGTGGGTCCTCTCTACGGAGGCCGCCATGTTTTTACAGTCATCCAAACTGGACTAATTAAACACCTTTTGAGTTTTTATGACAACTATAATCTTTATTATATTGTTAAAAATATTACAAAGATTGGATGGAAAGGTTTTTGTGTCCTGTCGTGTCTTTTAGCTATCTTGTCCAATGATGTAACTGCAAACCGTAGGTGTATGTCTCTAGTCTGTTTATGAGTACCCTTGCATGAACTAAAGAGCTGCTTTTATTATGTGTAGTAGATGTATTTTATGGGATCCATTGTTGCCAAAGTATTATGTGAAACTTTGTTTGTTTCACTTTCTGCCAAATGCAGCTACTGAGACACTTTGTTGCATATCTCTTTCACTTTCATGTCCTCATCCCCTGGGGATTTTTTTAGGCAATTCTTCACATTGCCTCAGAAATAATGCATCTTTTTTATATATTTGGAAATAAATACAACTAAACCTGTGTACAGAGGTTGAATTAGAAGTAAGATTTACGAGATGAGAGTTAACGCATCACTCAAGGTTTCCCTTCATCCCACAGGCAGATCCACATCCCCCGACAGCACAACACCCCCCTCCTGTGTCTCCATCCCAGACAGCAGCCGCTTGTCCCCCGATCCCCCAGTGATACTCGATGAGTCCGGGTCGGTTCTGTGTATTAATACACAATGTTGAATATATGTTTATCTACTAGGAAACTCATCTTTTTAAAGTTTCTTTTTTATTATTTATTTCTTGTCTCCATCTACTCGCTATCGAGACGATATCGAACTGTCCGGGAGGAATGGGGGTGTAAATCAGAAAAAACTGTCGTTAATGAGTTAATTCTGCAAACACAAAGTATAAATATGTAAGCAGTTTATAATAAATTTTACATTCACTTGTATATTTAATCCATTAGTTTTGCTCAAACGTCAATTCGTCGGTTTTAAACAGTTTATGATCTCTTCACTCCCCCCACACAAGTGCAGTGATCCAGATGTAGTGTCACCGCGCATGCGCTTTTGCGTCCACAATTTCCGCATCCCCCGGAAGTGCTGCAGCTGGACTTTAACGGTGTTAGTTTTTATTTCACTGACAGTTTTTGCTCATAAAGAGGATTTCGGTGAGTCGCTGTTTGTTCTAAGGTGCTGTAGTTGAGTGTTGTCGTCTTATATTCAAGACAACTGTGTTTCTGCGTCATGAAAGCAAGATAAGCTAAAGCGAACTGTAGCTAGCTAATGCTAGCAGGTGTTGGAGTCAGACATCCGGGTGTTCTGTGCCTTTACAAATCTGTATTCTTTAGTCTGGTCATGTTGTCAGATGTTGTTTAACTAGTTAATGTGCGGCTTTAAAAAACGTTTGCTAGAGTCGTGTTTTAATAGTGAACACGGGGAGAATCACATGTCTACGTCGGTCGCTGTGAATACACCAGATCTTACGTAGCTTTACGCAACTAACGTGAATAAAACATGAATGTTTCCACTCAGCAGACTGAGATCATTACTCGCCCCCTGGATTGCTTTGCTTTGGGCCGCATGTGTGATTATACACAAACCCGCTGTGCTTCATGCAGTGTTGGTCCCTTTCCAATACAAATTTCTTTTTGATTAATTCCAATTAAGAAACACTTTAACTTTAAAATATGTTGTGGTACCATGCCTTCTCCTTTTTAAAATGAAAGGATGGCTGAAGTATTCGTTCTTTTTGGCCATGTGCGTCACCTAACAAGGCATTACTGTTTCTCAAGCAGAGAGTGCAGGGGTATGGAGAGAAAATACGTTCACTGTAATGTCCTAATACTGTCCTTATTTTCTTCCTCTGTTTTCCCAGAGTGTCTTTTATGAATAATCAAAAGCAGCAGAAGCCTACGCTAACAGGCCAGCGTTTCAAAACCAGAAAACGAGGTGAGAAGCTTGAAGGCAATCATATAGTTCTGCACATCCATCAACCCATCAGTCCATCCATCCATCCAGTATCTATACTGCTTATCCTTTGAGAGTTTCAGGGATTGGAGCCAATCCCAGCTGACATTGGTCGAGAAACAAGGTGCTCCCTGGTCACCAGTCTATAAGTTTTGCACACAGCAATTACATTTCTTGTTCAAATTCAAACTATTCATGGACTTTGATGATTTACATACAATGAAAAATACAGGAATATGACAATAAAGTTGGATCCCTTAAACACATTCCAATATGTAACTGACTTGATATTCAACAAATTTCAATTGACCTTTTGCACACTAAAGGAAAATGTGTGGCAAAAAAATGCACATTAATGAGTATTGTTTTTTTACTGCCACTGAACAATAGATTACCATAGTACAATAAATGTGACTGTCTGCAATCCCTACCTTATGTATGTTTATGACCTGAGTATGGCATTGCATTTGTCTTCATAAGATCATAAGTACATTGGGAAACTGAAAATTGGTATCTGTCTTTTCAACAGATGAAAAGGAGAGGTTTGACCCTACCCATTTTCAGGAAAGCATCGTACAAGGTCTGAACCAAACTGGCACTGACTTGGACGCTGTCGCAAAGTTCCTTGATTCTTCTGGTGCCAAACTTGACTATAGACGCTATGCTGAGACTCTGTTCGATATCCTGGTGGCTGGTGGAATGCTGGGTAAGTTGCAGGTCACTTTCAGATTTAAAAAAAATCTTAAATGTAATTATTACCAAGGGCTTTTTAGTGTGTTTATTAGGATGGAGACAAAGTACTCAATGAGCCATTAGTACGACCCTAGCTAGGATAAGAGCAAACAAGTGTTTGATACAATATAGTTGCTACATTATTAAAACATTAATAGAATGCTCTAGACTTTTAGAGCATTGTCTTAGGCCTAGTTAATGTTCATTGATTCCGTCCTTGCAAACAGGTGCATCTCTGCAGATATCTATGCTCCCCCAATAAAGTCACTAATGAGAGAGCATGGATACTCTCAGATTGCTCCAGGAGGGAGATTGCAGAGACTCTAGTTTAAGGACGAGGCATTCTGCAGGAAACAATGGGAAAAAAACAACCAGCAACCAGTTTGTCAAGGCAAAGAAGCGTGCAAAGGCACAAAGTGATGATTCTTGAGCAATCAAGCCAGTGCCAAAACTGTTTCTTTTTCCTCTGCCTTTTTCTGATTATACACTAAGTATAAAAGAGAAAGGCGTCATGATGATGTCACATTTGGGTCGTGCAATGATGAATCTGTCAAGCATAACAGCAGGTTACACGAGTGCAAAGCAGCACAAAACATCTTTAAATAGTTGTTTTTCCTGTACAGTGCCCAATTTTTAGTAAATGCATGTGCACCCATGTGAGTGCTTGTGGGCATGTTTGCACATTGCTATCTTGACAGAGTAGAAAGCGATTGGACTTTTGACCAACAAAAAACTGGTTTGAAGTCAACAGCACAGCATTTCACTGTTTTTTTAAGGATGCGTTATCAACATCGTAAAATGTGCATGTTCAATGTGCATACAGTGATTGTTACACAGTGGATGGGCAGCAGTAATGATCAATGAAACTGGCTACTTAATTTCACAAATGAAGGCAATAGACATACTCATTTAAACAGATCTATATCCTCTGTAGAGAAGTGTTACAACCTTGCAAATCCATCATTGTAACAGTAATTTGCCAAGGTCTGAGCTCATCAGACTTTTAGAGAACATGTTTTTCAAAATTAAACGTATTTCTTCACAGCCCCGGGGGGTACCTTGGCAGATGATATGACATGCACAGACTTCTGTCTCTTCAAAGCACAAGAGGACATGGAGACAATGCAGGCATATGCCCAGGTGAATACTTAATTCTCTGTCACCTTGCACCGATTACAAGAAATATAAAAATCACATGTTCAGGCAGTACAAATTATACAACATGCTTTGTTTTTTCTTCCAGGTCTTTAACAAGCTCATCAGGCGTTACAAATACTTGGAGAAAGGATTCGAGGAGGAGATTAAAAAGGTTTGTTTTGCAGGAACATATAATACCTGACTATTGTATGTCAAGTTTCTGAATTCATGACCATGTGGCTCCAATCCAGTGTTAAAAATATATATATATCTGACAAAAAATTCAGCCTTAAGAACTGTGTTTCTATTTGCTCTGTGGCAGCTGCTGCTGTTTCTCAAGGGCTTCACAGAGTCTGAGCGCAACAAGCTGGCCATGCTAACAGGAATCCTACTGGCTAAATGCAATATCTCTGCATCCATCCTCAGCAGCCTGTTCAATGAGAACCTGGTTAAAGAAGGTACATGCTTCTCTGCCTTGTAGGCATGCCTAGTTGTGTTTTTTGGTTGTTTAGTAGATCTACAGGGAGAAGGAGTTGGGAGATGAAGAGGGCACAGAATCATCTTATACCACCCTCTTTTTTTATTTGATTTCCTTCTTAAAAACCAGTTTTTTTTTTATTGTTAAAACTCTACCCTCTCTTGCCCCTTTTTAAATGCACAGTTTATGGTCTTCACAATTATTTCCCAATATATTAAGAACAGATAATCAACATAATGTTCAGCTATTTGTCTATAATATCTCTTTTACACTAAAATGAGTGGGTATATGCAGCTTTTTTAAACGTGGTATACCCACAAAAAAAGTCGATAGACTCCAACTTCATTGCCAGTCGAGTTTGCCTTTCTGTTTATTT